TTCTATTCATTATGTACTATCATGCCATTTCCTTCAGTCACAAGATCTTTGAATATATTTAAGGATCACCCACTTTTTGTGACTAGCTGACCTTTAGCTGCCTTCCCTTAATTCTTCTCTACCCTTGTTTTCATTCTCGTTCATTCCAACTTCTTCATTTTCTTATCGTTCATTCTTGCTCTATCTTCATTTACCATCTTCTACCTTTATCTCTCTTCATTTTTCATTCTTGCTTTACGTACACAATTTTATTCTTTTCTTGAAATGGCAACCAAACCATCTTCATCTTCTTCTGGTCTCCTCAAACTGGAGGAACAGCTCACCTGTCCTGTGTGTCTTGACCACTATACCAACCCTAAGGCTTTACCTTGTCTACATTCATTCTGTGAGCACTGTCTGGAGGGATTACCTCTGGATAAGAAGAATGAAACCTATTACCTCTCTTGTCCCACTTGTCGTCATTGTACAGAGTTACCAGAAGAAGGAGCAGGAGCTTTTCCTGTAGCATTCACTCTCAACAACCTCAAAGAGATATACAGTCTAATGAAGAAAGTAGCTGATCCTGAACAGGTCCCCTGTGACAACTGTACTACAGCTAATTCCACTGGATACTGCAAAGACTGCAGTCAATTCCTTTGTACAGAATGTATCTCTATGCACAAGAAATGGGCTCTTTTTGCTAACCATCAGCTAACAAGTCTTGATGAGGTGACAGCCTCTGATGTCTCTTCTACTTCTCAATTGCTAGCTCCAGCTAAACAGGAGACAACCCTCACTTGCTCTGTACCTAGTCATGAGGACTCGTTAAGGTATTACTGTGACACATGTGATGAATCTATCTGTCGTGATTGTATAATGCTGGCTCATAAAGATCACAAGTATAACTTAATAGCTGATAGTTTTACTAAACACAAAGAAGCACTGGAGAAATGTCTTAATCCGGTAAAAGGGAAAATTGAAGGACTCAAGAAAGTCCTGTCTGCTCTAGCAGAGAGAGAGGGTGAGATCAGAGAGAGAGGAGAAGGAGTCTTAGAAGAAATACATGAAATGGTAGAGGAAATGATTGCTGTTCTTCATCAGTCAGAGAGGAAACTGACTGAGCAGGCAAAGAGGGTCACTGATGCTAAACTAAAGGTGCTGTCAGAGCAAATGAAATCAGCAGAAATGAGTTTGAGTATTCTGAAGGATGTTGAGGATTATGTGGAACAGAGTCTGAAGACAGGCAGTCCTCAACAAGTCCTGAGGTCTAAGAAACAGATGATGGAGCGTATGAGTGAAGTTACTGGAGGGATCAATGTGGAGGAGTTACATCCAAAGGAAAAGGCCGACTTTGTATTGAGTAAAGATATCAAATCACTACATCACATTGGAGATATTGTGACCTACTCATCTACTGCACTACAGCAGTGTAGAGTGAAGAAGATTGATCATATTACACCTGCTGGCAAAGCAGTTTCATTTTCACTATCAATGGAGGCACCAGATTCATCTGTTTTGTGTGTTCCCCTCTCTTCTCTGAGGTGTAGTCTAGTACCAGTTGGTAAAGGTGATGAACCCATTGACACTACAGTCACTACCACCAGCACTGATCCTGGAGTGTATAGGATACAGTGTAACCCTTCAACCAGTGGTACTCATACAGTAAAAGTACAAGTATGTGATGTACACCTTGAGGATACCTCACTAGTCATCCCTATCAATCCTTACCTTGATAACATCACTCCAGTACGTACTGTAACTAGGCTTAAGCGCCCCTGGGGAGTTGCTGTAACTGATGATAATATGTTGTAATAGCTGAGCATAGTAGTAACTGTGTACGAATACTGGATAGAGAAGGAAAGAAAGTGAAATCAT